TGCTTTGTCCTGACTGGGGCCGAGCTTCCCAAGCCCTGCTGGAGCTGCACTCATCCAGACAAGTGGGGAGGATTCCATCACAGTCCAGACTTGTGGCTTGTCGAAAGCGGACAGGCTTTGGGGAGTCAGGAGGTGGGTTACTCACCGCTGGACTCGTAACCTCTAACCTGCTCTTGTAGACATTGTGTTTATAAGGCTGGTGAAGCAGCTGGAAACATAAAATGTCAAATTCATTATGCATGGTCTCTCAGGTTGTCCAAGCAGGGCTTGTGATCAACTTTGGAGCGTTATGCTCTGTTGGACAAATTGCCAATATACTGGTCCATTGTATTTGCCTCCCTTGCTATCAGCTTGATCAGATAATTGGGCACAGTGTGGGAGAAAGCTGTTTGATGCTGATTGTAATCGTGAGATAATGACCCAATGCCTTCTCTTATTTGAGGGCAGTGCAGTATTGAGATCTTGCATCATATGGTATAGATTCAGACACAACGGAACTTCCAGAGGGATATGTGGGGACGTTTGATCCGGGAATGTGGATTACATTCCCACTCCCAGACCCATCGCTTAAAGGATCAGGTTCGGAGCGATGGTCAGATTGTAGGAAGATGTGGTACAATCAGGGCAGTCGAAATTTTCCCTTTTATTACTCAAGAAGTATTCAGGAAAAGTTGCTGCAACCATACAAGGCATAAGTGGGACCAGACCTGGAGTATAGTGCAGTTTTGGTCTCCTTACTTGAGGATAGATGTAATTACATTGGCGGCAGCTCAGAGGAAAATCACAAGACTGATTACAGAGATGAAGAGTTTGTCTTATGGGGAGAGATTGAACAGTTTAGGCCTGTACTCTCTGTGGAGTTTAGAAGAACGTAAGGAGATCTATAAGATGCTCAAGGATTGGCAAAGTAGACGAGGAGAGGATGTTTCCTCATGTGGGGCAATCTAGAACGAGATGTTTTAGGGTAAGACGTAGCAGGTTTATAACAGAGACGAGGAGGAATTATTTCTCTCAAAGGGTCATGAATCAGTGGAATTCAACCCCCCCATGTGGTGGATGATGGGACATTGAGTAAATGTAAGGAGGAGGTAGATTTTTCTATTCGAAACAGGTTGGAGAGTTATGGGGAGCGGGCAGCAAAGTGGAGTTGAGGCTGAGATAAGATCAACCCTGATGATATTAAATGGTGGAGAAGGCTCAAGGGGATGAATGGCCTACTCCTGTTTTTAGTGTTCATTTGGGTTCATTGTTGATAGCACAGGCTCTCCAGCTCCCTTCAGAGGCTCAGTGGGTCAATACACTCAGCCACAAATGGACCCTTAATCCTAACCCAATGTTCAGTTCTAGTCCAAAATGCCCAGACAGATAAAGAGATGACAGGACTCTGTCTGAATGGGGTCTGTTCAAAGGAGCATTTTAAAGGATTGGGTATGGGGTTGGGGTGTGGTGAAGTGGTTTTGGGAGCAAATCGTAGGACTAGCGGGCATAGCCTCAAAATAAAGGGAAGAAGATGTAGGACTGAGGTCAGGAGGAACTGCTTCACCCAAAGGGTTGTGAATCTGTGGAATTCCCAGCCCAGTGAAGCCATTGAAGCTACCTCGCTGAATGTTTTTAAGGCAAGGCTAGATAAATTTTTGAACAGTAAAGGAATTAAGGGTTTTGGTGTGCGGGCGGGTAAGTGGAGCTGAGTCTCAAAAAGATCAGCCATGATCTTATTGAATGGCGGGGCAGGCTCGAGGGGCCAGATGGCTAACGCCTGCTCCTAGTTCTTATGTTCTTATGTTCTTATGTTCTTAAATCCCAAAGCAGCTCAGGCCAGTCTTGGTGGAGGAATTGGAATTGTGGGTAATAGGAGAGCAGAATTTGAGTCTTGTGAGGCTGGAGGAGGTTATAGAGAGGGGTGAGCTCATTGGTGTGGCAAGAAGTGAGACACTGGTGTCTCGGAATAGACCCGGGGTGGTTGCGGTCAGTGTCTTTCTGTCGATGCCCCGTTGGGGTGAGAGGTGAGATTTGAAAACCTGTTTGGGGCGTTTTAAACCTCCAGGGCATTTGATGAACAATATCCAGAACAGTTCACTGGCTTGTTTAGTGCAATGGGCCTGAACATGCTTTAGACCTTGGTGGTATAACATCACAATGGCTTTAAGAGGTGCATTTTGTCCTGGTTTTGCTTTGAAGAGAGGTTTTAAGACAGAGGTACTGACTTGTCTATTTCAATCCAATAAAGCAAGCAATTTGTGAGACCATGGGTTTTTTGAAAAAAATTGGAACAATAGAAGCAGCCTGACTGGGTGGTGTCAAGAACCAGGATGTTTAGTTTTAGTTTTATGGTAGCAGTTGCTCAGGTCTTGTAGCTGGGTTTGGAAGCTGCAATAAATCTCTCCCTGCTACTGTTTCACTCTCTCTATCTCTCTATCTCTCTCTCTCTCTCTCTCAGAGTTTTCTCTTGTTTTCTTTCCCACCTGGACTGGAGAATTGCCCGTGAGACAATCTAATTTATCAAATTTGCCTTTTCCAAGGGTGTGTTTAAATGATGTTACTATATTGGAACAGTTACTATTTAGTGGTTAAATAATCTATAATTCTGTTAACTTTTCCAATAGAGTTGTTATTCAATGTTCTTCTTTCTTTTGTTGTATTTTAACTGTAGTGTTTGAATAAATTGTGCTTTGCATAACGTTGAGTAGTTTGACCAATCAAATTGCATCTGGAACGCAACAACTTACACTTACATCCATAGAGTCACAGAGATATACAGCATGGAAACAGACTCTTCAGTCCAACTCGCCCATACCAACCAGATATCCTAAATTAATCTAGTCCCATTTACCAACATTTGGCCCATATCCCTCTAAACCCTTCTTATCCATGTACTCATCCAGATGCCCTTTAAATGTTGCAATTGTACCAGCCTCCACGACTTCCTCTGGCAGCTCATTCCATACATGCCCCACCATCTATGTGAAAAAGTTGCCCTTAGGTCCCTTTTAAATCTTTCCCCTCTCACCTTAAACTTTAACTTTAAAATAAGAAAAAGGTAGGGTCTAAGACTATCTTCTGAATATATTTTCAGCTCTGATGAAAAGTGGTCTGGACTTGAACTGTTAGCTTGATCTCTCTCCACAGATGCTGCCTGATCCGTTGTGATTTCTAGCACTTTTTGCTTTCAGTACAAATTCCAGCATCTGCAGTAATTTGCTCCTACATTTTGAGAGGATTTGGGCTGGTGTTAAGAATGGGAGTTGCAACTGCAGGCCTCCTGAGATAGGGGGCAATGTTGTCGAAGCTGGAGTTGGCTGGCTTGGCCTACAAATTGGAAGCAGGTGCGGAAAGTCATGCCAGGAATTGATGGGTTGCGAATGATCTGCTTCAGCCTCAAATCCTTTGCTGGGTGGATAGTAGTCAGAGGATGGCTCAAGGGACATGTCTCTCTGTTCACCAATGTTTGGCAATTTCCTGGCCTTGTGTCATGTCACTGCAAGGAGAGACTAAAGTTATCCTTGTCTACACCAACACGCCATCTCCCTCCCAGTCCAAGGATCACTGACCCCTGAAGGGTCTGCTAGGGCCCAGACAGAGAGGATGCCCTGATTGAGGCATGGGTGGGAGGATTACAACAAAGATTCTCACATTCAGCTCCACAAAAACGTGGTTGGAAAAGGTTGGCAGAGAGGGCATGGCCTCTCACTCTGTCTTGTCAACGCTATCCCATTCTCGCTACTCCCCACATACTCTCCACTTGCCCTGGATGGGGGCAGCTCCAACAACACTCAAAAGTTCGACACCATCCAGGACAAAGCATCCTCCGCTTGATTGGCACCACATCCACAAACATCCCACTCCCTCCACCACCGACACTCAGTCGCAGCAGTGTGCACCATCTACGAGATGCACTGCAGCAACTCACCAAAGATCCTCAGGCAGCACCTTCTAAACCCATGACTCATTTAGAAGGATAAGTGCAGCAGATACATGGGAACACCACCCCTGCAAGATTCCCTCCGAGCCACTCACCATCCTGACTTGGAAATATGTTGGCCGTTCCTTCAGTGTCACTGAGGCAAAAACCTGGAACTCCCTCCCTAAGGGCACTGTGTGGGTGTCCCTACACCATTGGACTGCATTGGTTCAAGAAGGCAGCTCACCCCCACCTCCTCAAGGGGCAACTCGGGACAGGCAATAAATGCTGATACAGCCAGCTACACATGCAACCAATGAACAAATTGTTGCAAATCCAGAGGAACAATAGAAGCACATTCCCGGGAATATTTTAGAAGTGATGATTAAGAATTTTCCCCTCTAACAGGGACGTATTTCCACCTGAAGAAAGAACTGCAGATGCTGGAAGTCTGCAGTAAAACCAAAAATTATTGGAGAAACATTGGAGGGACTGACAGTTTCTGTACAGAGAGAGAAAGCAGAGTTGGCGATTTGAGTCCAGCAGTTCTGAAGAAGGGTGACTGGACTGGAAACATTAATTCTATTTATTTCTCTCTCTCTCTGTCTCTGAGCAGACGTTGCCAGTCCCCACTGAGTTTCCCCAGCGATTTCTGGCTTTTGTCACTCACTTAGACGCCACTTGCATTTATATTCACTCCCGTTACATTTCTCTACTTCATCCGACAAACCTCGTTCTCAATTCCTGGCCCATTTGGTTTGATTTATTGCTGTCACATGTACCCAGGCACAGTGAAAAGTTTTGTTTTGTGTGTAGTACAGGCAGATCATACCATGCAAGTGATAGGACAGAGCGAGGTTACAAAAGTTTGGGCTACACAAAAGGCAAGATTAACATTCTGTTCTGAGGAAGGGTCACCAGACCCGAAACGTTAACTCTGTTTTTTCCTTCACGAATGCTGCCAGACCTGCTGAGCTTTTCCAGCAACTTCTGTTTTCGTTCAAGATTAACATTAGCTTTGAAATTTGAGAGGTCCAGTGAGAGGTCTAACAACAGCTGGCCCAGTAGAGGTTTGTGACATAAATGAAGAGGGGCTCATGTCTTTGCTTTATCAAAGGTTTTTTATTGACAAATGGCATCACAGATCTCCGGTGTGGGTTATCTCAGCAGGGAATTTATTTGATCACTTTTGACACCTTCCTCAGCCTCTGTTCCACTTATCGTCCTCTTAATCCAGTCAAGGTAGTTAATGACATTGGTGTAGATCCCGTAGGCCCCGCACTGGATCCCCCAGGATACTATGCCGGCGATGTAGTAGGTGTCAGATCTCAGGGGATCCTCAAACACGTAGGCACCTCCCCCGTCCCCGGTGCAGGCATCAATGCCAGGGCTCCCGGCACACAGCATGTTGTTGGTGAACTGGGCACCTCGGGCAGAGGAGGTGAGGTTCCTGCACCGCGACATCTCTGCCACAGGCACGGCGGCGAGCAAGAGGACGTCGCTCTGGGCGAAACGCTCCGTCTTGCCGAACCCGGAGATGTAGCCCACCTTGCCCACCTTCGTTTGGTACCTGGGGTGCCTGGTGGGCAGGCAGATGGGAGAGAGGTGCCGCCCCGCCCTGACACGGCTCTTGAGCTTCACCAGTGCCACGTCACCGTCGAAATTGGCCCGGTGCCCAGCGCCCCCGAACCCTGGGTGCGGGACGATCTCCTGCGCCTCGAGAAGGCTCCAACCGGCCGGGGAGTTCCGGTCAGTGCCGCCGGCGAACATGCGCAGCTCCCCGGCGCCCTCCACACACGTGGCGCTGGTCAGTACCCAGCGGTCGGACACCAGGGCCCCGCCACACACAGTGGTTTCGAAGTAGACGTGCCAGGGGAAGCTCCCCACCTCGGCAGGGTGGCCCCCGAAAATGCGCTGGGTCAGAGATGGAGGCGCTGTCGGTTTTCCACAGACTGCCAACAAGGGAAGAGGGAAGAACATTACAGACATTGCGGTGGAGCGGGTACTGTAGGGAACAGTGGAGGGTGGCAAGCTGGAGTTGGCTTTGACGGCTCAGAGTGTGGGGGTTCGCTCCCTGGGCATCCCGGCAATGGCTGGGTTGTCCTCGGAAGAAACGTTGGACAGACTGGGATTCAGGGTGCGGAAAAGATTTTACAAGAGACTGGAGGGGCATCATGCTGCGACTGTACAGGACAATGATGGGGCCACATTTGGAGTACTACATGCAGCTCTGGTCGCCCTGCTGTAGGAAGAATGTTATTAAACAGGACAGGTTGCAGAAAACATTTGCAAGGATGTTATGGAGACTGGATGAATGCTATGTTAAGGCTGTATAAGACATTGGTGAGGTCACATTTGGAATACTGCATATTGTATACTGCACACAATTCTAGTAGCTATAGGAAAGATGTAATTATGAAAAAATAGAGTCCCTACAGTCTGCAAACAGGCCATTCGGCCCATTGAGTCCACACCAACCCTTCAAACCACATCCCAATCAGACCCACGCTGCCACCCAATCCCTGTAACCCTGCATTTCCCTTGGCTAACCCACCTAGCCTGCACATCCCTGGACACTACAGCACAGCCAATCCACCCTAACCTGCACATCCCTGGGCACTATGGGACAATTTAGCACAGCCAACCCACTCTATCCTGCACATCCCTGGACACGATGGGACAATTTAGCACAGCCAACCCACCCTAACCTGCACTTCCCTGGGCACTATGGGACAATTTAGCACGGCCAATCCACCCTCACCTGCACATCTTTGGACTGTGGGAGGAACCTGGAGCACTCGGAGGAAACCCACGCAGACATGGGGAGAATGTGCAAACTCCACACAAAGAGTCACCTAAGGTCAGAATTGAACCTATAACCCTGGCGGTGTGAGGCAGCTGTGCTAACCACTGAGCCACCATGCCAGTGTTAAACTGGAAAGGGTGCAAAAACGATTTACAAGGATGTTGCCAAGACTGGAGATTTTGAGTTATAAGGAGAGGCTGGATAGGCTGGGACCTTTTTCACTGGAGTTTAGGAGGCTGAGGGGTGACCTTATTGAGGTTTATAAAATCATGAAGGGCATACATAATAGCCAAGGTCTTTTCCCAGGGTAAGGGAGTCCAAAACTAGTCTTGCAACATTTAAGGGGCATCAAGTTAAATGCCAGCCAGCTATGGGCTGAGAACGTGCCATTTGATGTTTATGGGTTGGCACACGCATAGTGAGCTGTTTCTGTTCTGTACGACTCTACATACCCCTAAAATCCTCCTCTTGCTCCTATCTCCTACGTTCGTATCCGGTGATTATGAAGGAGAAGATTGTGTCAAGAAGTGAAAGGTTCAGGGACCAGAGGAGAACTGAACCAAAGATCACTGACAGAAACAGGATGGGGACTATGGACGCAGTCCCAGAGTAAGATCTCTACTGACGTTACACCCTGAGCGGACTTGACAAGGTGAATGTGAAAAGGTTGCAACCCCTTGTTGGCCAGTCCAGAACAAGGGGTTTCCCTTTCAGGACAGAGAGAGAGAGGAGAAGACATCTTTCTCTCAGAGGGTTATAGAGTCATACAGATGTACAGCATGGAAACAGACTCTTCGGTCCAACTGGTCCATGCCAAATGGATATCGTAAATTAATCTAGTCCCATTTGCCAGCATTTGACCCTGAGCCCTCTAAACCCTCCCCTATTCACTTATCTACCCAGATGCCTTTTAAATGTTGTAATTGCACCAGCCTCCACCAACTCCTCTGGCAGCTTATTCCATACATGCACCACACATTGTGTGAAAAAGTTTCCCCTTAGGTCCCTTTTAAATCTTTCCCCTCTCACCTCAAACCTATGCCCCTCTAGTTTTGGAATCCCCTACCCTGGGGAAAAGACCTTGGCTATTCACCCTATCCATGCCCCTCATGATTTTATCAACCTCGATAAGGTCACCCCCAGCCTCTGACGGTCCAGAGAAATTAGCCCCAATCTATTCAGCCTCTCCCTATTGCTCAAACCCTCCAGCCCTCGCAACACCTTTGCACATCTTTTCTAAATCCTTTCAAGTTTAACAACATCCTTCCTATAGCAGGGAGACCAAAACTGAATGTAGTACTCCAAAAGTGGCCTAACCAATGTCCTGCACAGCCTCAACATGACCTCCGAACTCCTATACTCAATGCACTGACCAATAAAGGCAAGCGTACCGAACACCTTCTTCACCGTTCTGTCTGCCTGTGACTCACTTTCAAGGGAACTATGAAAGTTTTGTGTCTTTGGAGCTCAGAAGGCAGTGGATAGAAAGTGGGGTCATCGAAGACTTTTAAGTCAGATTTTCACGAGAGATGGGAATCAGGTGACAGGAGTACGGGTAACTGGGAACATGGGATTCGAAACGCAATCAGATCAGCCGCAATCTTATTGAAGGTTGGAGCAGGCTCGAGGGGCCGAATGGCCTACTCCTATCTCTCCAGGAACTGGAAATCACAAATATCCACCTCGTTTTACACATCACCTGAATTTCATTCCCATCCAACAGTGATAATACCACCAGGCCAATCATCCAGGGACCCCAGGCTATTGTTCATGATTTCGAATCTCGCTGAGGGCAATTGTCATAGTTTGATTTAATTAAATCTGGGATTAAAATCTAGCTTTGGGCATTGGCTTTATTGTTGATGCTGTTGGAAAAACCCATCTGGTTCACCAATGCCCTATTGGGAAGGCGATTTGTGGCCTAGACATGACTCCAGGCCCACAGCCATTGGCGTTGACTCTGAAATGGCCTGGAAAAGCTGCTCAGTTCAGGGGGCAATTAGGGATAGGCATCAAATAGCCATGGAGTGGAGGACAAAACTCACATTTGCACCCAGGCTCCCTTGGAGTGGGAGGCCACAGAGACCCTTAGACGCACACTCGAGGCTTTTGGAGAGCGGGGTGAGTATCATGCAATATCTTATTTCTCCGTCCAACTCCATTTCAATATAAAATCCCCTTCCTCTCTCCCTGCTCTTTCATTCGGACATTGCTGCCCAGGCCCTGGAGATCTGGTGGTGATATTACAAACTAATAAGCAGCGTCTTTTGGATAGATGGCATTGCCCATGGAGAAAGGACGGTGGAATGAGCCATTCACTCACCTGGCTTGCACGTGGGTAGGACATCAACTGAATTGCTATTCATCCATTTCCCATTCGCTTGGCACGTATACAGCCCTGAGGAATAACAGATAGGGACGTTAAAAGTTGGGGCACCTCTTCAGCAGGAGATAAGCCATTGTACACTGATCAATTGGATGGGCTGAAGGGCCTGGACGTGGGCTCAAGCCTGCCTCCAGAGGCTGGGGCGGGGTCCGGAAATCCAGGTCAACTCTCACCCCCACCCCATGAGGTGGGGGGTTGGGGGAGGAGGTGTCGGGGTGGTGCATCCAGATTCTTTCAGGGCGCACCTGAAATGTAACGTCCTTCCTGCACCAACGCCCTGCCTCCCCACACACACACTTCAGCCAGCCAATGGTGTTTGTGGGGACTTGCTGTGCAGAACAGGGGTGGGGGCTTCTCCGAATATGTTCCTGCATCTCTCCGAGTGGCTGGGGATTCTTGATGGTCTGTGTGTGTGTGTGTGTGTGTGTGTGTGTGTGTGTGTGTGTGTTTATGTCACCATGTGTGTCTGCAATAGAGAGTGTATCTGTGTGTGTGAGCGCGTTTGTATGCATGTGTGTGTCTGTGTGTCTCTGTGTCTGAGTGTGTGTATGTGTTGTCTATCTGTGTGAATCTGTGTGTGTGTTTTTGTGCAAGTGTGTGTGTGAGTTTCTGTGTGAGTGTGTGTGTCTCTGCATATGTCTGTCTGTGTGAGTGTGTGTGTCTGTGAATCTCTTTGTGTGAGCGTGTGTGTGCGTTTCTGTGTGAGTGTGTGTGTTCTGCATATGTCTGTCTGTGTGAGTGTGTGTGTGTGTGTGTGTGTGTGTGTGTGTTTCCATCCATCCATCTGAATGTGCACGTGTGAGTGTGCGTGTGTCTCTGTATATGTCTGTCTGTGTGAGTGTGTGTGTGTGTGCGCGTGTGTGTCTGTATGAGCGACTGTATGTGTGCATGTGTGTCTCCGTCCTCCGTATTGCCTCACGTCCAGGTGCCTTACCATCTCCTTCGCTGGCCATTGTGTAATACGGCTCCTCGCACTTGTATCTGACGACTGAGTGGAGCAGGGTCACATTATGCCCGTTGACATACTCGTAGCTTCCACTTTCGAGATCAGCAGGGGGGCCGCAGTCTGTGACTGGAACAGAAAGCCACCAAAAGTTCGTCTCATTGATCCCTTGGCCCTGCTCATCGAGCTGTTGTCTATAAAACCCCAAAGCTTTTTTTTCCCTTTGTTCATTCACAGGATGAGGGAGTTGCTGGCTAGGCAGCATTTATTGCCCATCCCTAATTGCCCAGAAGGGGGCAGTTATGAGTCAATTGCATTGCCGTGGGTCTGGAGTCACATGTTGGCCAGATCAGGTAAGGATGGCAGTTTCCTTCCCTAAAGGACATTGGTGAACCAGATGGGTTTGTTCTGACAATCGACAATGGATTCACGGTCATCATTAGATTCTTAATTCGAGATATTTATTGAATTCAAATTCAAATTCAAATTCCACTATCTGCCATGGCAGGATTCAAACCCACGTCCCCCTGAACATGATCTGTGTCTCTGGATTAACAGTCCAGTGATAATACCACTAGGCCATTGCATCCCCCATCGCTGGCTTGAATTAATACTTGCTGAGTTTGCTAACCACATTGTTAAAATGTAGACGACAAGAGAATGGATATATTGCTGAGGTTATGTAAGGCACTGGTCAGACCGTATTTGAAATATTGTGTGCAGGTTTGGGCCCCATATCTGAGGAAGGATGTGCTGGCCATGGAGGGGGTCCAGAGGAGGTTCACAAGAATGATCCCAGGGATAAAAGGCTTGTCATATGAGGAGCGGTTGAGGACTCTGGGTCTGGATATAATGGAGTTTAGATGGATGAAGAGGGGGATCTGATTGAAACTTACAGAACACTGAGAGGCTTGGATAGATTGGACGTGGAGAAGATGTTTCCACTAGTACGAGAGACTAGGACAGCCTCAGAGAGAAAAGACAACCCTTTAGAACTGAGATGAGGAGGAATTTCTTCAGCCAGAGGATGGTGAATCTGTGGATCTCGTTGCCACAGAGGGCTGTGGAGACCAAGTCATTGATTGTCTTTATGACAGAGATAGTTATGTTCTTGATTAGTAAAGGGATCAAGGGTTACAAGGAGAAGGCAGGAGAATGCGATTGAAAAACATACATGCCATGGAAGGATGTGGAATGGAGCAGGCAGGTGGGACTAGTTTAGTTTGGGATTATGGATGGCATGGACTGGTTGATCCGAAGAGTCAATTTCCTTGCTGTATGACTCTTTGATCAAATGGTGGAGCAGACTTGATGGGCTGAATGGCCTCTTGGAGACAAACAGCAGCACATTCCCATGGCCACGCCATGCTTCAAGTGATCCCAGTTAAAATGGGGACCGTCATACCCTCAGGTCACATGCTATGAAACGGTTCTGATCTCACAATCGCATCTCCTAAATGCATACCGCATTCAAATTGTGAGACATAGCATAACGTCCACATTACCTTTGCATGTCTTCTTGTCGCTCTGGAGACTGTATCCTTGGCGACAGTAGCACTGGTATCCTCCAATGTAATTGTGGCAAAAATGGTCACACGCTGTCTCCACTTTCCATCGAAAGCCACATTCATCAATATCTGACCAAAGGGGGAAAAGTCGATATGTTTCTCCATTAAAAATAGAACATAGAACATAGAACAGTACAGCACAGTACAGGCGCTTCGGCCCACGATGTTGTGCCGAAGTTTTACCCTAATCGTAAGGTCTATCTAACCTCCACCCCTACCTTATACTATCATCCACATGTCTATCTAATAGCCGCTGAAATGCCCCTAATGAGGCCAATTCCACTACCCTCTCTGGCAATGCATTCCACGCCCTGACCACTCTCTGAGTAAAGAACCAACCTTTGGTGTCTCCCCTATATCTACCTCCACTCACTTTAAAACTATGCCCCCTCATAACAGCTACCTCCACCCTAGGAAAAAGTCTCAGGCTGTCTACTCTATCATTTTGTACACCTCTATCAAGTCACCTCTTATCCTTCGTCATTCTAAAGAGAAAAGCCCTAGCTCTCTCAACCTTTCCTCTTAAGACCTTCCCTCCATTCCAGGCAACATCCTGGTAAATCTCCTCTGCACCTTTTCCAACTCTTCCACATCTTTACTGTAATGAGGCGACCAGAACTAGACACAATACTCCAGATGTGGCTGAACCAGGCTTTTGTAAAGCTGGAGCATAACTTCACGGCCCTTGAACTCAGTCCCTCTATTAATGAAAGCTAACATACCATACGCCTTCTTAACAACTCTATCCACCTGGGTGGCAGCTTTCAGGAAACTGTGGACATGAACCCCAAGATCGCTCTGCTCCTCCACACTGCCAAGAATCTTTCCGTCAACCCTGTATTCTGCTTTCAAGTTTGTCCTTCCAAAATGAATCACCTCACACTTTTCAGAGTTAAACTCCATCTGCCACTTCTTTCAGAGATCCCTTTCAGAGTGGAGTTACCGGGATAGAAGGAGGCTATTTGGCCCATTGTGTTTGTGCTGACTCTCTGCAGGAACAATTGACATAGTGCCATTCTCTCTGCGAGTCTGCACATTCCTTCATTTCACATACTAATCCGATCCCTCCTCAAAGACTCAATTGCCCTTGGGTCGACCTCGCTCTCATTCCAGATCCCAACTACTTGTCGCGTGAAGAAACAGTTCTTGTTGTCTCGTCAGCACCTAGTTTGCCGATTGCCTCAAATCTGTCCCTTCTCATTCTCAATCCTTCCCCAGTTATAGTGGATTGAGAACTGTATTTTGCCTGCTGAAGGCTGCCATCCACTTGTACCACCAGAGGGAGTCGAGAGGGATCAGAAAGGACTCTATCTTTTAACAGAGATAGTAGGAACTGCAGATGCTGGAGAATCTGAGATAACAAGGTGTAGAGCTGGATGAACACAGCAGGCCAAGCAGCATCAGAGGAGCAGGAATTTCTGAAGAAGGGTCTAGGCCCGAAACGTCAGCCTTCCTGCTCCTCCTATCTTTTAACAGCCTGGACAGTTCAGATTCTGAGCTCCCCGCCACCCCCACGAATCTTCCCAAGAGAATCCTACAAATCCCTACAGTGAGGAAGCAGGCCATTTCACCCATTGAGTCCACACCAACCCTCCAAAGAGCATCCACCCAGACCTACACTCCTAACCTGTGACTCCCATTGCTAACCCACCTAACTTGCACACTAGGGGCAATTTAGCATGGCCAATCCACCTAACCTGCACATCTTTGGACATCGGGAGGAAACTAGAGTAGCCGGAGAAAACCTATGCAGAGAACACACGACCTCCACACAAACAGTTGCCAGGGGGTGGAATCGAACCCTAGTCCCTGGTGATGCGAGGCGGCTATAGTAACCCCTGTGCCACTGTGCCTCCTCATGGCATACAACTCTGACCCAGTCAGGATAAGGGAACAACAACATGCAGTGACAGTGGGAGGGGTAGGTTTGTAGTGAGGGAATGGGTGAGGCAGATGGGGCAAATTATTGGGTAGGTCGACACTGGGGAGACACCCGCGAGCTCCTGCGAGGGGACGGGGGAAAATCCTCACCATGGCATCCTTCACCACCAAATAAATATGCCACTTCCCACTCATCCTGGTATCCAACGCTGCTGTTCCACCAGCAGCCTGAGCCTTCTGTGGGGGCACTCCCACGCATTGTAGAGAACAGCCTCATCCCTCTGTCCCCCTCCGATTGGTTGGCAGCTGTAGGTGAGGAGGTGGGGTTGGATCACTGCCCCAGGACGTGATTGGCCCAGAAGCCGGTTGGGCGGCCATTTAAGTGGTTGATTGACATAAAGGGGTCATCTCTGGGATTGGAGGGATAACTTGCCCAATCCTTAAAGATGCCCACCTCTCATGTTTTGACCCAAAAAATTGGAAATTGCATACCATATGTAAAAACCAAGACCGAAGTTATCACCAATGCATACTGCCTTAATATCACCTTACCAACAGTTTCATAAAACAGGGTGAATCCTCGTCTGCTGTTCTGGTTGGGTGAATTGCAATGCACGCGTAATTTAACAATGTGGTTACCGGACGCTGTCAATTTTGAGCTTGGATGGTGCAATCGGACTAATGTTCTATTGCCGCAAAGTCTGCCCAGTCGCTGTCTCCCAGCAAAAGCCTGGTGTAAACCATGGAAAAAATGGATAAAACACTCATTTGACCTCAGCTGGAGCGTTGCATTCACTTCCAGCCGCCAATCTCTTTAAGAAAAGCCATGAAGTCTCAAAATAAATTAGTATTGCTTAGAATCTTAGGTTCTTAGGTACAGAAAAGGTGGATTTTAACTTCTGATTCTGTGAAGGTGTGTTTTTACAAGAAAAAGATAATAAAGGTCAGAAGGTTTTCTTGAACAGTGAGCATGCCCATGAAAGCCCCCGATTTTAAGGTAAATGACAAGCACTTCCCTCCCCCACCACTCCCAGGCAGCGTTCCCTCATTTTTTTTTTCTCTGTTTATGTAGGTGTCCAAAGTCTGTGGGTGACAGTGATTTCCAGAATCAGAGGTCAAGACCATGATTGTCACGCATGAAACCTTAGACTGAATGCACACACACATAGCTTAGAGGGTACATTGTCCCCGGGGAGAGAATTAGTCAAATGCCAGCTGATTTGAGCTTTATAACCCAGACAAAGGGGTGAGAGAGAAAGGAAAACAAGTCTCTTTAGAGAGGGGTGCTTTAGCAACACAAAAACTATGAATGCCCATCTCTAAAACAGGCAGGGCTGAGTGACTTCAAAGTCAAATAAATTGCAGAAGTCAAAGGCTGTGGAGTTGTCAGAGAGGAAAGCATGATACAAGGATGTTAAAAAACACATGAGTGAAGGGAACCCATGATCAGGAGTAATAGTGAGCAGAGTTAGCAGTTTATGTCATAGTCCTGGGGAGAATGAGAAGTGATCTCATTGAAACCCTACAATATTCTGAAGGGGTTTGACACATCAGGTGCTGAGATGGGGTTGGGGTTGTTTCTGCTGGTCAGGGAATCGAAATCATGGAGAGGGGAGGGGTGGGTAGCATAGTCTCAGGAAAGGAGGCCGATCATTTTGGATTGAGATAAGGAGAAATGTCTTCCACCAGAAGGTGGTGAACCTTTGGAATTCTCTACTCCAGTGGATACTTGATCACTGTACCTATGCAAAACAAGGATCAATGGTTTGTTGGTCTTTTGGGGGAAATCGAGGGATGTGAGAATGGGCAGGAAAATGGAATCGAAACCCAAGATCAGCTGCGGTCAAATAGAATGGCATAGCAGGGTCGAGGGGCCAAATGGCCCAATGCTACTCCTGTTTCCTATGTTGTTGTCTGATTCCCTGTTTTGGGTGGGTATTCCGGAACTAAGTGGGCAGGAAGCTGAAGACAGAGCAAGCTTGAAAGGCTGAAAGGCCTATTCCCGTTCCTGTATCTCATGCTTTCCCAAGGCACAGCCGTCTTCGATGGTGGAATTTTTGAGATCAGGGAGAGTCAAAATGTGTGATCAGCATCGTGGTTTTATTTTTTAAACTCATTCACAGGCCGCCTCTGGTTGGGCCAGCATTTATTGTCCAAAAGGCAGTTCAGAGTCGATCATATCAGCTGTGGGCCTGGAGTCATGTGTCGATCCAGACCGAGTAAGGACAACAGAATTGTCCACCCTAAAGGCCAGTCATAAACCTGATGTGTTTAGGAACAGGAACTCAAAGAGAAAAGTAGGCCATTCGGCCCTGCTCCACCATTTAACAGTATCATGGTTGACCATCCAACTCGGTCCCCTGTTCCTGCTGTTCCCTCCATAACCTTTGATCCCTTGAACCCCAAGAACTATACCCAACTCCTTCTTGAAAACATTCAATATTTTGGCCTCAACCACTTTCTGTGACAGAGAATTTCACAGACCTCCTACTCTCTGGGTGAAGTCTTTGCTCCTCATCTCCTACCCCATATTCCTTGGAAAGGATATTTTTTTACAACAATTGAACATAGTTGTCACAGTCAGCATCCCTGAAGCTAGCTTTCAATTCCAGATTTTATTATCAGGGCTTTTACAAGAGTCAGCACTGTCGGGCTCGCTGTATCTTGGTTCAAATTCCGCATTTTTATTGAGTTCAAGTTTGACCATTTGCTGCGGTGGGATTTGAACCCATGCCCCTGCAAAATGTTGGCCTGGATTTCTAGCTCAGTGACATGCCCGCTACACCAGCATTTGCTCTTAAATTATACAGTGAAACATCATATAATAGTAAAAGCAGTCAAGATACCTCTAAATAGTGCTGCTTACATGGCCGAGATGTCAACGAATCAAAGTGGTGGAAATGAAATCTCACAGCAAATCCTGGTGGGACTGCGATGTCCCAAGCCCTGGCATCGTTGTGTTGGTAATTTGTCAAGAAAATCTCGCCAAACACACTGGACTGGTTCGACTCAGCTGATGTACCGGTGGTGATTAAAGCCCACAGTACGAGCAGAGCCCTGGGCAGAAGGAGGGAAGAAAGAGGCAGAGTTAAAGGGATCGATTCTGAAACAATTCACTCAGAAATTCCCTCAAGGGTTCAGGGAATCTCTTCTGCTGGAGCTAGCATTGAGCAGGCGCTCTCTGAGAGCAAGCTCCGCATCTTTGGCCACACCCTCTGGTTTGAAGATGTCTCAATAATCAGCATTGGGGCTTCCATCCTATTTACTCCCTGAAATGTCCACCTTGTCTAGAAATCTCCTCCCTCCAATATCAGTCTTTTGTAGGCTCGCCTTTTGAAGATGAATTTCTGCAGCGCATCATGTAGTTGGTACAAACTGCTCCTACTGAGCTCAATGGAGAAGGTTCACTGGGATGATCTCTGGTACAGAAGGATTGTCTTATGAACCAAGGCTAAACAAGTTGGGACTTTACTCACTGGAGTTTAGAAGAATAAGAGGCAATCAAGCTGAGATGATGATTCTTTTGACACGGTAAATGCTGAAAGGATGTTTCCCCTCATGGGAGAGTCTAGGACCAGAGGGCACAGTCTCAGAATAAAGAGACACCAATTTAAAACTGAGATGAGGAGGAATTTATTCTCTCATAGAGTTTGTGAGTCTTTGAAACTCCTTGCTCCAGAAAGCTGTCGGTGCAGAGTCCTCGTGTATATTGCAGGCTGAGGTCGACAGATTCTTAATCAAGGGTTTTGGGGAAAGGGCAGTCCTATGGACTGGCAGAGCAGGCTGAGTGGGCCGAATGGCCTACTCCCCTTCATATTTCCTATGATCTTCAGATTTTGTGGTGGAGAGAGTGGATGTGGTGCCAATCAAGCGGGGTTTGCTTTGTCCTGGATGGTGTCGAGCTTCTTAAGTGTTGTTGGAGCTGCCCCCATCCAGGCAAGTAGGGAGTATTCCCTCACACTCCTGAGTTGTGCCTTGTCAGTGGTGGGACAGGCTTTGGGGAGTCAGGAGGTGAGTTACTTGCTGCAGGATTCCCAGCCTCGTAGCCACTTATATTGACTTGCTTGGACTATGTTATGATATCACTTCCTGAGGGTGGTCTTGAGCCCAGACATGTTGGCCCAGGGGTAGGAGCACTTCTATTGAGTCAAGAGCTGAACGAATAACCATTGGTCCTGTTCATTGTCTGGCCAATGGCGAACTCTCAACGATGGGGCTTTTCAATGATGGCGACTCCATTGACCATCAAGGGGTGGGTGGCTTGTCTCTCATTTTCCAGGAGGAAGTGATTGATGGACAGTGATGTTGTAAGATTGTTCCTCTCTGCTCATCAACCCAAGGTGGAAATCTATCCAGGCCTTGCAGCTTCCAGGTATGAGCCACTCCCAATTTGACAAGAGTTACAAACTATTGACAGTGAGGGTTAGAAGTCAATGCTGTTCTTTCAATGAGACACCCATAAATGAAATTTTGACTATATTGTTAAAGGATAGACCAGGGTACTTCCTAGATGGTATGAGGTTAAATACAGTAGATGTCTAAAGAGACTTGGAGGTTCGGATCTTTAATGTCGCAACCAGGTGCAGGAAATAATCAAGAAAATTAACAGAATGCTGACCTTTATATCTAGAGGACTCAAGTACAAGGATGCCTTGTTAAACCTAACTTGGAGTACTGTGAGCAGATCTGGGCACCACATCTCAGGAAGGATATTTTGGTCTTAGAGGGAATATAGTACAGGTCATCAATAAATTAGCAGGAAAAGTGAGGATAGATAAAGATAAACTATTTCACTAGTTGGAGATTCTAGATTTTGGGGGCATCCGTCCGAGAATTAGGGCCAGGAGAGATGTTAGAAAGCACTTCGACACACAAGAGTGGGAGAGGTTTTGAACTCTCTTCAAATGGCAATGGATGTTGGATCAGTGAATAATTTTAAATCTGAGATCAATACATTTTATTAAGTAGAGGTATGAAGAGATATGAGCCAAAGGCAGGTATATTTGGAGTTGAACCACAGATCAGCCATGATCTCATGAAATGGCAAAACAGACTGGTAGGGCTAGTAAGAACTGCCGATGCTGGAGTCAGAGATAACACAGTGTGGAGCTGGAGGAGCACAGCAGGCCAGGCAACATCAGAGGAGCAGGAAAGCTGATGTTTCGGGTCGGGACTCTTCTTAAGAAACGGGCGAGGGGGAGGGGGAAGTGGGCTCTGAAATAAGTAGAGAGAGGAGGGGTGGGGCTGGGGTAAGCAGGTGGGGTGGTGATAGCGAGTGCAGGTAGGCGATAGCGGGGGTTGGTCAGTGAGGTGGGAGGAGCGGATAGGTGGGAGAGAAGACGGACAGGTCAAGGAGATGGGGATGAGAGGGAGGGTTGGTCATGGGATGAGGTCAGGGGTGGGGAGATTTTGAAGCTAGTAAAGTCCACATTGAGGACTTGTAGGCTCCCAAGGTGGAATATTAGGCGCTGCTCCTCCAGTTTGCGGGTGATGTCGTTGTGACACTGGAGGAGGCCCTGGATGGACATGCCGCCCAGGGAGTGGGAGGGGGAGTTGAAGTGGTTCGCGACTGGAAGGTGTTGTAGTTTGTCGCGAACAGAGAGCAGGTGCTCTACAAAGCGGTCTCCGAGTCTCCGCTTGGTCTCACCGATGTAGAGGAGGCCACATTGAGAGCAGCGGATGCAGTAGACCACATTGGCGGACGTGCAGGTGAACATCTGTCTGATGTGGAAGGTTTTTTGGGGCCTGGGACTGGGGTGAGGGGCGAGATGTAGGGGCAGGTGTTTCACCTCCTGCGGTTGCAGGGAAAGGTACCGGAGATGATGGGGTTAGTGGGGAGTGTGGAGCGGACGAGGGAGTCACGGAGAGAGAGCGGTCCCTCCAGAAGGCAGATAGGGGTGGGGAGGGAAATATATCCTTCGTAGTGGGGTCAGATTGTAGGTGGTGGAAGTGGCGAAGAATGATGCGTTGAATCCGGAGGTTAGTGGGGTGATACGTGAGGACGGGGGGATTCTGACTTTGTTTTTGATGCGGGGAGGGGATGTGAGGGCTGAGGTTCGGGGAACGCAAGAGATGTGGTCGAGAGTGTTTTCGACCACTGAAGGGAGGAAGTTGCGGTCCTGGATATACGAGGACATCTGGGATGTTTGGGAGAGGAATGCCTCATCTTGGGAGCAGATGTAGCAGAGGCGGAGGATTTGGGAGTAGGAGATTGCATTCTTGCAGGAAAGTGGGCGAGAGGACGTGCAGTCTATGTGGCTGTGGGAGTTGGTGGGCTTGAAATAGATATCAGTTTCGAGGTGGTCACCAGAGATGGAGACAGAGAGATCTAGGAAGGAGAGAGAGGTATCAGAGATGGTCCAGGTGAATTTGAGGTTGGGGTGAAAGGTGTTGGTAAAGTGGATGAACTGTTCGAGCTCCTCGTGGGAGCATGAGGCGGCGCCGATACGTTCATCGATGTAACGGAGGAAGAAGTGGGGGATTGGGCCAGTGTAGCTGCGGAAAAGGGACTGTTCCACGTATCCTACAAAGAGGCAGGCATAGCTTGGGCCCATGCGGATGCCCATGGCCACCCCCTTGGTCTGTAGGAAGTGGAGGAGTTAAAGGAGAAGTTGAAGAATCATTTCCCAGAGTTGAAATGTTTAATACTAGGGGGCATGCATTTAAGTTGGGGAGAGGGAAAGTTCAAAGGAGATGTGAGGGGCAGAAGGTGGTAGGAGTCTGGGACATGCTGCCAGGGATGGTGGTGGAGACAGATACAATAGGGGTGTTAAAGGGGCTCATAAGCTCATGAATATGCAAGGAATGGAGGGATGTGGATGAAGAATGGGCAGAAGGGATTAGTTTAATTTTGTGTCATGTTTGGCACAATGTCGTGGACCAAGGACCTGTTTCTGTGCTGCACTGTTCTATATTCTATCTACAAGATGCACCGCAGAAATTCACCAATGTTCCTTAGACAACCCCTTCCATATCCATGACATCCACCAACGAGAAAGACAAGGACAGCAGATATATGGGAGCACCAGCCCCTGCAAGTTCCCCTCTAAGCCATTCATCATCCTGACTTGGAAATATATCACTATTCCTTCACTGCCACTGGGTCAAAATCCTGGAATTCTCTCCCTAAAGGCATTGTGGGTCACCTACACCACACAGAACTGCAGCGGTTCAAGGAGGCAGCTCACGCCAACCTTCTCGAGGGGCAGCTAGGGACAGGCAACAAATAGAGACCCAGCGAGTAACGCCCGCATCCCACGAGTGAATATATAAAGAGAAAAGTCACAACAGAGTATAATCAGGGACGCAATTTTTCGAGTCAACATGTTCGATCCCATTTCAAAGGAGGCGGTCACCATTTCCATTGACGTGATCAGTAAAGTCTTGGGACAGTCACACTGGAGTCAACACTCAGCAGGTTACTCACCACAGCTCAGTACTAACAGCCATACAGCACATGACAAGAGTGAGAGCTCAGCTTGGCCTGGTGAAGATTCCAGTCAGCCACAAAAACACAGACCAGATGGCAACATCGAGAGGCCTCTGGGTCAATGTCCAACCAGGATCACTCGGAATTCTTCCGGGATTGCACACATATTTATTCTGATGCTGCCTTTACGTCAACACAGTCAGGGTGATAATGGAGGTTTAGTTATGTTGAGAGTGAAATGGACTGACTTCCCCCATGTTTGAGGCTGTGGAATGATCTATTTGACAAGGTGCTGGAAACAGATTGAGTGACACATTTTAGCAGGATGTTTGACAGATACCTGAGCGTAATAAAATAAAAAGCGGAGTTGGTGGGAAAGAGTGAGGTGTGTGTGTGTGTGTGTGTGAGTCAATATGTGCGCCTGTGAGTGTGTGTCTGTGATTATATATCTGTACGTGTGTCAATGTGTGTGTATGCTTCCGTGTGTGTGTGCATGAGAGTGTGTTGGTGGCCTGCATTGTAAGGATTTTATGCTATGCTATGCTAGAGTGTGTGTGTGTGTGTGTGTGTGTATCTGTGAGTGTGTGTGAGAGAGTGTGTGTGTGAATGTATGTGTGTCTGTGCGTGTCTGTGAGTGTGTATGTGTAAATGCATGTGTGTCTGCATGTGTGTGTACATGAGGGTGTGTATACGTACATTTAAATCTGTTGATGGTCTGCATTGTAAGTATACTATGCTATGCTAGAGGGTGTACGTGTGTGTGTGCACATGTAGATGTGTATGCCTGTGTGTAAATGTGAGTATGTATGCGTGCATGCATCTGAGTGTGTGTGTGCATTTGAGTGTGTCTGTGAGTATGCAAATGTGAGAGTATGGGTGTTTGTGTGTGCATGTGCATAAGCGTGTATGTCTGTGTGTGTGTGTGAATATATACGTGCCTGCATGAGTGCGAGTGTGCATGTAAGTGTGTCTGTGAGTGTGTGCGTGTGAGTGTGTGTGTGTGTGCATGTGTGTATACATGTGTGAACGCGTGTGTATGTGTGTGTGTGCACGTGCTTGTGTCTGTGTGTGAATGTGTGTGTGAGAGTGTGTGTGTGAGAGTGTGTGAATATATGTGTGCCTGTGTGTGTGATTGTGAGTGTGCACGTGTGAGTGTGTGCGTGTGAGTGTGTGTGTGTGTGTATGTGCGTATGCGCACGTGTGTGTGTGTTTGTTTCAATGTGTGTCTGTGTGTGGGTGGGTTGTGTTCGTGAGTGTGTGTGTGGGTGTGGGTGGGTATGTGTGGGTGGGTGTGTGTTTGTGAGTGTGTGTGTGGGTGGGTGGGTGTGAGTGTGTGTGTGGGTGGGTGCATATGTGTGTGCGTGCGCGCGTGCGCATGTGGGTGGGTGGGTGTGTGTTTGTGAGTGTGAGTGGGTATGTGTTTGTGTGTGTGTATGTGTGTGTGCGCGCGCGCGTGTGTGGGTGTGAGTGCGTGTATGTGTGTGTGTGTGTGTGCGCGTGCACGCGTGTGTGTGGGTGTGTGTGTGTGAGTGCATGTGTGTGTGTGTGTGGGTGTGAGTGCGTGTATGTGTGCGTGTGTGTGTGTGTGCGCGCGGGTGGGTGTGTGTTTGTGAGTGTGAGTGGGTATGTGTTTGTGTGTGTGTGTGTGTGGGTGTGAGTGCGTGTATGCGTGTGTGTGTGTGTGTGTGTGTGTGCGCGCTGGTGGGTGTGTGTTTGTGAGTGTGTCTGAGTTTGTGTGAGAAAGGGAGAGACTGAGTAAGATGAATTCAACAGTGCCCCCTGGGGGAGGTGGGGGTGAGCTGCCTTCTTGAACCACTGAGATCCCATGTGGTGTAGGGACACCCACACAGTGCCGTTAGGGAGGGAGTTCCAGGATTTTGACCCAGTGACACTGAAGATTTAGTGACGTATTTCTAAATCAGAATAGTGCGTATGTTTGTAACTGAGACAGAATGTGAACCTGTGAGATTGTATGTCTGTGAATGTGTGTTTTTGTGTATATGTGTGTGAGTGAGAGTGTGGATGTGTGAACATGTGTGGGTGTGTATGTCTCTACGTATATGCCTATGTTTATGTGTGAATGAGACTGAGTGAGAGTGTCAGTGTGTACATGTCCACTGTGTTTAAGAAGGGACGGAGGCAGAAGACAGGGAACTATAGGCCAGTTAGCTTAACCTCAGTCATTGGTAAGATTTTAAAGTCCATTATTAAGGATGAGATTGCAGAGTACTTTGGAAGTGTGCGGTGAAATAGGGCTGAGCCGGTACGACTTTGTCAAGGGTAGGTCATGCCTGACAAATCTATCAGAATTCTTTGAGGATGTAACAAGCAAGTTAGACAAAGGAGAGCCAGTGGACAAGATCTATTTGGATTTCCAGAAGGCATTTGACAAGGTGCCGCACAGGAGACTGCTGAAAAAGGAAAGAGCCCCCAGTGTTTGGGGCAAGGTACTGGCATGGATAGAGGATTGCTTGACTGGCAGAAGGCAGAGACTAAGGATAAAGAGGTCTTTTCTAGGATGGCAGCCCGTGACTAGTGGAGTTCTGCAGAGGTCTGTGTTGGGACCACAACTATTTATTTTATAGATTAGCAATTTGGACAAAGGAACTGAGGGTATTGTTGCTAAGTTTGCAGATGACACAAAGGTAGGTTGCACGGTTATAGGGCTGGAGATGGTTCCAAAGAGATTTACCAGGATGTTGCCAGGTATGGAAAGTTTCAGTTATAAAGAAAGGCTGGATAAGTTGGCACTTTTTTCCTGTGGGCAATAGGAGGTTGAGAGGCAACCTTATAGAAGTTTACAAAATGGTGAGGTGTATTAATGGTAATTGTCTTTTCCCTGGCATGGAGGATTTCAAGACGAGGGGGCACATTTTTAGGTGAGAGGAAAGAGATTTAAATAAGACATGGGAACACATTTTTTACGCAGAGGGTGGTTCGCATGTGGAATGAACTTCCAGAGGAAGTGGTGGATGTGGGTACAGTTACAACAATTCAAAGACATTTGAATAAGTACATGAATAGGAAAGGTTTGGAGGGATATGGGCCAGGAGCTGGGCCAGGAGCAGGCAGGTGGGACTAGCTTAGTTTGGGATTACGTTCGGCATAGACTGGTTGGACCGGAGGGTCTGTTTCCGTGCTGTATGTCTCTAGGTGGAGGGATGGGTAGTGTTGCGGAAGTGGGGCAGAGACCGCAGAAGGACTTGGGCAGGCTAGGAGAGTGCGGGCTAAGAAAGTGGCAGATGGAAACCAATGTGGGAAAGTGTGTGGTTTTACACCTCATTTCTGGTGCATGGAACATGAGACGACACATGAAGCACATCGTGGGTGCAAGGCATCCATTTTAATCAGCGCAAGGCCTAAGCACAGTTTTGGATAATGGAACTGGGTGCCAATGTGGCGCTATGCTACGGAAGAGGCTCATTATCCCTCATTGTTTCCTCAATCCAGTCCAGGTAGTTGGCCACTTTGGTGTAGAAACCGAAGGTGCCGCAGTTGACTCCCCACGAGACGATGCCGCCCACGAAGAACTCATTGCGTCGGGGTTTGGGACGGGCGAAGACGAACGCCCCCCCGCTGTCGCCCTGGCAGCTGTCTGCCCCTCTCTCGTCACCAGCGCAGATCATGTTGTCGGTGACGGTGACGCGGAGGCTGGATGTCTCGTTGCTGCACACCCATAGGTCCTTCACCGGCAGCCGGACATACATGAGCTCATCAGGCAGCGTGTCATTCTCGGTCACCCCCCAGCCGGATACCAACCCCACCTTGCCGGCGGGCAGAGCATGGCGAGCATGGCGGGCTGGCAGGCAGATCGGCGAGAGGTCGGGTCCCAGCCGGACCTTGGACTTCAGGCGGACCAGGGCCACGTCGTGGTCGTAGTTGTAGGCCCCGTCCTGTGGTGGGCAGTAACCTGGGTGGACGAAGACCTCGTCGGCGACCAGGCGAGTACCCTCCCTCGCCTTCCTGGTGTCGGTGATGCCCGCGATCATGGACAGGCCGGATGTCTTGTGGACCACATGGGCAGCCGTCAGCACCCATTGGTCCGTGATGAGTGCCCCGGCTCCCCTCGGTTTCTGGATCAGCACCTGCCAGGGGAAGTTGCCCCTCTTCGCCACCGATCCCTTGAGAACTCTCTCACCAAAGATCACTGGATTGCTAGGCTTTCCACACACTGCAACACACAGACACACACACACACAGAGAAGTGGGAAAAGCTTAGACTCTTCGTCACAGTTGTGGGAGCAAGAGCGGGCCATTCGGCCCGTCGCCAGCGACTCATCTGGCCGTCTTCAATTCCACCTCCCTGCCTTTTCTTTGCGACCCTCAATTCCCTGAGATTAAAACTGATGCTGGAAATCTCAAATGGAAACAGAAATTGCTGGAGGAACTCAGCAGGGCCTGGCAGCGTTTATGGAGAGAGAATGCAGAGCTAGCGTTTCGAGTCGTCGAATTATCGAATCATAGAATTGTGGAATCATTGACTCATAGAATCGTGGAATTGTAGAATTGTAGAATCATTGAATCATGGAATCATAGAATTATGGAATCTTGGAATCATAGAATCATGGAACCATTAAATCACAGAATCATAGAATCATGGAACTGTAGAATCGTAGAATCATGGGATTATGGAATCATAGAATCATAGAATTGTAGAATCATAGAATTATGAAATTATGGAATCATGGCATCACAGAATCCCTACAGTGCAGAAAGAGGCTGTTCGGCCCATTGACCCACTGAAGAGAATCCCACAAAGACCCATTGCATTCCCATAACCCCACATGGGGTTTTTACTATGGCTATCCTACCCAGTCTGCGCTTCCATGGACAAACAATCTACCCAATCTTTGGACTGTGGGAGGAAACTGGAGCACCCAGAGGAAACTCACGCAGACATGGGGAGAATGTGCAAACTCTATACAGACAAAGTCCAGTGACCTTTCTTCACAAATGACCCTGGATCCCCTTACTGATTAAAAATCTATCTCACTCTCAAATGTACTTAAGAACACAGCCTCTACAACCCTCTGCAGTAAAGAATTCCACAGATTCACAGAAGAAATCTCTCCCCATCTCTGTCTTCATTGGGAAACCCCTTATTCTGAGATGATGCCCCTCTGGTCCTAGACTCTCCCACAAGGGGAAACAACCTCTCAACATCTTCCCTGTCCAGTCCCCCTAAGAATCTTGTATGTTTCAATAAGGTCACCTCTCATTCTTCTAAACTCCAATGGGTTTATGGCAACAATCTATTCCCTGACTCTAATCCCCTGTCCACATCAATGGCACTGAGGTGGAGATGGTTGAGACCATCAGTTCCTAGGAGTGATGATCACCAACAATTTGTTTTGGTCCACCCACTGTGATGCTACAGTCAAGAAAGCATGATAACACGTCTACGTCCTCAGGAAGCTAAGGAAAGTCGGCATGTCTGTAATCCCAACTCTAACCTTAATTCTAGCCCATTCAGAGAAAGGTGAGCCACTGGAATTCACTACCACAGGGAGTAGTAAGGGCCAAAACATTGCGTGTTTTCAAGAAGGAGGTAGGTGTAGCTCTGGTGGCTCGAGGGATCAAGGATTATTGGGGAGGGCGGGATTAGGGAATTGAGCTCAATGATCAGCCGTGATCATATGGAATGCAGGGGCAACCTCGATGGGTTGAATGGCCTATTCGTGCTCCTATCTTCCATAGAGATTCCCCCCCAGAGCATCTCCTCTTCTCCACATCTCTTGTGAATGCATTCAGACTGAGCAGACCGGAGAAGTCTCCTCGAAGGGTAAACGGGCTGTGAGAGTCGGTGATTCGGAGACACAGTGTGTCCAGTTCTGATTTAAAAACAGACTCAGCAAACTGAAGGGGTGCCGTACCATGCATCACCGAAACAATGTGCGTTTTGATCACGGGGTCGTGCCTTCAAAATCCGGTTGACAGGGCGACGAAAGATAAAATGCAAAGAAATACACGAGCCCAAACAAACCTCAGTCAACCTCCAATAAAGCCAAGAGATAAACCTCCCCTCCACCTCATTTTAAAAAAAGGAATTGTCTTAATGAGCGAATGGACTGTGGAGGATGTTACAAATTGCTGAGGATGGATCAATAATTGATCACACAGGCAGCTTGTATGGCAAAGGGGCGTTGTGTCTCAGATGGTAGCTAGCTCAGGAAGGGGTGTTGTCTGATTAGTAACTGGGGGTTTGGGCAGAGCAGGCTAATCCTTCGACTAGTTGATGTAAACCAGCAGACTTACAATTCTACAGGGTCAACTGCTGATGTATGATTGCGGTAAAGGGCAAAGTCACCACAGTCCCATGCTCTCATTAGAGAGGCAGAGATGTCTGATGCAAGTTTAATCTGAAGGTCACTGCACCTCAGGTCCAGGGAGAGGTTGAGAAGGAGGACAATCCTTCATTGTAACCTCAGCTGGTACAGGAACCAGACCCACACAATTGGTATCATTCTGCAGCGCAAGACAGCCAATTGAGCTCACCACATTTTGCTGTAATGGACACCATTTGGACACCACTGTTGATGGCCGAATTTCAAACAATGACAAGACAAGAAGATAGGAAAGAGATAGAGTATGCAGTGGGGTGGTGTAAAGAAATTAATCTCTCCCTCAACATCAGCAAAACAAAAGAGCAGGCCATTGACTTCAGGAAGCAAGGTGGGAGGGCATGCTCCTGTCTACATCAATGGTGCTGAGGTGGAGATGGTCAAAAGCATCACGTTCCTAGGAATGACAATCACCAACAATCTATCCTGGTCCACCCATGTTGATGCTATGGTCAACAATGCCTCTACTTCCTCAGGAGGCTAAGGAAATTCGGCATGTCCGCAAGAACGCTTAGCAATTTTTATAGACGCACCACAGAAAGCGTTCTATCCAAATGCATCACAGCTTGGTATAGCAACTGCTCTGCCCAGGACTGTAAGAAACTACAGAGAGTTGTGAACACAGCCCAGTCCATCATGCAAACCAGCCTTCCATCTATTGGCACTATCTATATTTCTCGTTGCCTCAGGAAGACAGCCAACATCTTCAAAGACCCCTCTCACCCCGGTTGTAATTTCTTCCAACCTGTTCCATCAGGCAGAAGATACAAACAGCTTAAAAACCCGTACCAACAGAATCAAGAACAGCGTTTTCCCTGCTGTAATCAGAATTCTGAACGGACATCTCAAATTTTAAATTTAACATTGACCTTGTATACCTGCTCTGTAGCCGTAACTCCATATGCTTCCCTCTGTCCTATTACCATTACATACTTTGTATGGTATGATCTGCCTATGCTGCACGCAAAACAAACCTTTTCCCTGTATCATGTGACAATAATAAATCAAATCAAATACCCCATCGTTGAGACTGCCATGGGTGATAGATATCCAGAATAAATGTGACAGAGAAGGAAAAGTAAGGGATTAAAATCTACAAAGTGCAATCTATTACAAAATGAAGCCTTGCACTTTTTTCGAATCATCTGGCAGCTTGGGGAGCCAATAGCACCCCCACCCCCATTGCCTTCTCCATGGCAACCTATCAACCAATCAGGGCCGGCTTTCCAGCTAGTTGACACCCTTTTTTCCGCGGTGTAAATCACTGTGCCCATGAGAAATTTGGCACTCTTGCATTTGTGCCCTGGTGAGCGCAAGAGTAAAAGATCTCACCGCACGTCTCTCTCCCTTTTCCTTTCGGGAACGACTGAGTTCTGCACAGCCATGCCCACTCCCCTCATTACAAATCATCCCTATTTTGTCAGGGATGGTTACCTGGGGTGCATTTCGGGAGGACTTGGCCTGTCGCATTATTTTCCCATGTTGCTTCAACCGTGCAGTGGAAGTCTCCTGCCAAGAGAGCAGATGCATTTGTCAATGACAGAGTCAATGATTGGAGTCCCACCCCCTTCCGCCAGATTTGGTTTTAATTTGAGCCCTTGTAAGAAGTGTATCATTGAACCATCCAGTACAGCGAATGTCCTTTGGCCCTTTAGGTCTGCAGAGACAAAAATATACTAGATCCACTTTCCCGCACTAGGTCCATAGCCTTGAACATTATGATAGTTAAAGGACTCATCCAGGTGAAGGTTGAGAGGTCTCCCACTTCAATTACCCTCCCTGGCCAGTGCATTCCAGATTCTCGCCACCCTCTGAGTGAGAAATCACTTTCTGAAACTCCCTTCTGCCTTTCACTTTAGCATTTTGCACCCTTGATATTGACCCTTCAACTCAAGGGAACATTTCCTTCCTATCCACCCTGTCCATGCCCCTCAGAATCTTATACACATTTATCAGGCTCCTCCCTCACCCCCTCCACCTCCTTAACCATCTCTGCTCCAAAGGAAACAATCTGAGCTTATCCAGCCTCTCTCCATCACTGAAATGCCCCATCCCATGGCAACATCCTGGTGAATATCCTCTGCATCCCCTCCAGTGCGATGACATCCTTCCTATAATGTGTGGACCAGAACTGCCCACATCATTCCAGCTATGGCCTCACCAAAGTCCTATACAGCTCCAAAATAACCTATATGCTCTTACAATCTGTGCCACGATTAATTAAGGTAAGTGTCCCATATGCCTTCACAACGACCCTATTAACCTGCCCTGCCACCTTCATGGGTCTGTGGACAAGCTCCCCAAGATCCCTCTGTTCATCTGAGTTTCCTAATGTCCTGCCACCCATTGAGTATTCCCTTGTCTTGGTCCACTCACCTTAGTGCTACGGTGAAGAAAGCACAACAACGCCTCTACTTCTTCAGGGGGCTAAGGAAATTCGGCATGTCTGTAAAGAATCTTAACAATTTTCGTGGATGCACCATTGAAAGCATTCTATCCAGATGCATCACAGCTTTGTATGGCAGCTGCTCTGCCCAGGACCGTAAGAAACTACAGAGAGTTGTGAACACAGCCCAGTCCATCACACAAGCCAACCTTCCATCCACTGACTCCAACTACACTTCCCGCTGCCTCAGGAAGGCAGCCAACATCATCACAGAACTCTCCTACCCTGATGAGAATCTCTTCCAACCCCTTCCATCAGGCAGAAGATATACTTGTACGAACAGCTTCAAGAACAGCTTCTTTCTCGCTGTTATCAGACTTATGAATGGACTTCTCATTTATTAGAGTTGATCTTTCTCTGCACCTTCTCTATTGCTGTAACATTATATTCTACATTCTGCTCTATTAACCTGATGTACTTGTGTAAGGTAAATTTTGTCTGCTTAGCATGCAAAACAATACTTTTCACTGTATCCCGGAACGTGACAATAATGGATCAAATCAAATCAGGAGGAAGATGTTGCAGTGGATGAGGCGGGGGTGGGGGTGGACGTGAGGCTGACACACAGGGTTGCTGTTACAGCGAACTGGCACAGGATACGTGGGCAGAATGGCCTGCCCTTTAGCTCTCAACATTCTGTAACTTCACGTTGAATAATAGCAAAGCTTATTCTAGGATGAAACTCAATATTATCTTGGAGGCATTCAAAATATTTCCTCTCGTGTCAAAAAAGAAATCATTCCTCTTGAAAATGACTTGACTCACGATTATGGTCTGTCTGCAGTTGATAATAAGGCTCATTGCACTGGTATTGAATTATCGCTTTATAGGTGGTCACGGCTGCTTCAGTGATAAACACAAACCGCCCGTTCTCAATTGATGGTGGAACTGAACAATCCACAACTGTAAAGAGAAAATCAAACAGCGTTATCAGATTAGCTAGTTGGTGTTTCAATACAGAGCCCCACCTTTTATCTCTCACAATGCCTATTGACCTACATTGCCTGCTAATGTGGTGCAGTGGTAGTGTCCCTACCTCTGGAACAGTAAGGCCTGGCTTCAATCCCTCCTGCTCCAAAGGTGTAACATCTCCAAACAGGGGAGACCAGGAAATTATTTCTATCTGGCTCTGACGCAGGTGCAGTCCTGAGGAAGGGTCACTCGATCCGAAATGTTAACTCTGATTTCTCTCCACGGACGCTGCCAGACCTGCTGAGCTTTTCCAGCAATTTCTGTTTTTGTTTCTGATTTACAGCATCCGCAGTTTCTTTCGGTCTACAAAGCTGTGCGGGTTAGGGTGGATTGGCCATGCTGAATTGCCTATATTGTCCAGGGATGTGCAGGCTTGGTGGGTTAGCCATGGGAAATGCGGGGTCACAGGGATAGGGTAGTGGGGTGGGTCTGGGTGGGATGTTCTTCGGAGGGTTGGGATGGGCCAAGCGGTCTGCTTCACACTGCAGGGATTCTACGACAACGTCCACTCTGTGAGGTGTCACCTGACAAGGGAATTTGTGGCCCATAACCAGTTGCTCTTGGAACTCAGTAGCCCGCTAGGGCAGTCCAAAGCTAACTGCTTTGCTGTGTGTGTGGCTGGAGTCACGTATAGAAATTTGGAGGATGCCTACTTTGCCAATCATAGGTCAGTCTCCCAACCTGGCGCTCGAACCCACAACCCTGGGCTTATTTAGTACCAAATGATTTGGGAAGGTTGGACAAGGCAAGGATGGACATCAGTGAAAAGGTGGCCTCTTACTGCAGCTGTCTTTGGCAATCGTCACCACGGTGAGTGCGTTTTTGATATTTCTCACAGTGGCAGCTAATAGTGGGTGGGAAACCAATAACAAAACAAGGAGGACATTCTCAATCATGTGGAATCCCACTCACGTTGGCAGCTGTACCCTGGAGTCTTCCAAGTCCCGTCTTCTTGACATTCTGCATAAAAGTGCGGGATTGTCTGATAGCCCTAAGAGAGATTGTCACAACAACGCATCAGCTTTGAGTCTAAAACCATCTTTGTATTTGTTTGGTGATGTTGGTCACCATACTTACGGAAAGATGTTAATTGTTATGGACCAGTCCAAACCCCCTCAAAATATATTCAGAAAATAATCTGGATCTTAGCGTTTTCTTATTTTAGAGGTAAGTGCAAGGTATTGCATTTCAGATGTAATTTGATTGGTCAAGCTGCCAGATTTGAAACAAAACACACTTTATTCAAACACTATAGTTAAAATATAACAAGGCTGTAATAACTTAACTCTATTGGAAAATTTAACAGTGTAGAGGTGAGGTTAAAATCAGATCAGCCACGATCGTTTTGAATAGCGGGGCAGGCTCGAAGGGCCGAGTGGCCTGATCTTGTTCCTCTGTTTGTACATTAACTCATGTTTCCATCTCTGTTCACAGCCACTACTCTCTTCACAATCTCTTTGTCTGGCACTAGACCCACGACCCTCCGAGATCGCCACAATCCCCCAGTCCCGGCCTCTTGCGTATCCTCAATCCCATCACTTCACCATTGGCAGCCCGTGCCTTCAGCTCCCTGGGCCCTGATCTTTGGAATCCCCTCCAAAAAACTTTCCACTGTTTGTATGCAGCATTCCATTAAAATACATGCTCATGATATCATCATTGCACCATAGCGTATGACGTTAGGGCTTGAAGATCTCAGACTCAGTCTTAACACAGGCGTACAGATCCACAGTTCCCTGAAAGTGGCAACGCAAGTGGATAAGGTGGTCAAGAAGGCACATGGTACACTTGCCTTCCTCGGTCAGGGTATAGGGTATAAAAATTGGCAAGTCATGTTGCAACTGTATAGAACTTTAGGTGGGCCACATTTGGAACACTGTGTACAACTCCAGTCACCATGCTACCAGAAGGATGTGGAGGATTTGGAGCGGGTACAGAAACAGTTTGCCAGGATGTTGCCTGGTTTGGAGGGTATTAGCCATGAGCAGACTTTGGAGATACTTGGTTTGTTTTCACTTAAACTTTGGAGACTGAGGGGTGATTTGATAGAAGTCTACAAAGTTACAAGAGGTGTGGATAGTTGGAGTCTTTTTCCTGGGATAGAAATGTCAATTATTAGGCGACATGGGTTTAAGGTAAAAGGGGGAAAGTTTATGTCATAGAATCCCTGTGGTGTGGAAACAGGCTATTTGGTCCAGCAAGTGCACACTAATCCTCTAAACAGCATCCCACCCAGACTCACTCCCCCACTACATTCCCCAAGGCTAATCCACCTTACCTATGCACTATGGTAATTTATCATGGCCAGGCTATTTAACCTGTACATCTTTGGGCTTGGGTGGAAACCAGAGCAAACCTGCACAGACACACAGAGAGAACATGCAAACTCCACACAGACAGTCAGCCAAGGCCAGAATCGGACCCAGATCCCTAGCACTGTGAGGCAACAGTGCTAACCACTGAGTCACCATGCTGCCCTGTAAAAGGCAGGTTTCTTACACAGAGGGTGGTTAAGTGCCTGGAATGTGCGGAGGTGGTGGAAGCAGATACACTAGCAATGTTTAAGAGGCATCTTGGCAGATACATGAATAGGCAGGCAATAGTGGGATATGGACGCAAAAGGATTTTAGAAAAATGTTGTGTCAACACAGGGATGGTGGGCTGAGGGGCTTTCTCCTGTGCTATACTGTTCTTTCTTTTCTTTGTGGTTTTCTGTCTTAATTTAGGCCACTTGAAGCATGACATGCTGATGTGAGCATGTTACTGTTTGCAACCAAATAGTCTAGATACTGCAATATATGTCGATATCAAGAAATGTAATGAACATCATTGCATGTTTCAGTATTACATGACCCAGCATCTAGCTCTGATGCTATGACAGCTAATATAAATAGTGCCTTTACAGGTTTAGGAGACGGAGGACATAGAGTTCTTAGTGTCGTGGTGCAATGATAACAACCTCTCTCTCGATATCGGCAAAACAAAAGAACTGATTAATGACTTCAGGAAGAAAGGAGGAGGACACACCCCTATCTATGTCAAAGGAGCTGAGGGAGAGAGGTTGAGAGTGTCAAGTTTGATCACCAAAAATCTGCCCTGGACCTCCCACATAAATGTAATGGTCAAGGAGGCACAACAATGCCTGTACTTCCTCAAGATGCTAAGGAAATTCAGCATGTCTATAAGGGTCCCCAACAATTTTTACACATGCACCATAGAAAGCATTCTATCTGGGCGCATAACGGCTTGGTCCGGCAACTGCTCTACCCAAGACTGCGAGAAACTACAGAAAGTTGCGAGCACAGCCCAGACCATTATGGAAGCCAAACTCCCATCCATGGACAACAAGGTGCAGGGCTGGATGAACACAGCAGGCCAAGCAGCATCATAGGAGCAGAAAGGCTGATGTTTCAGGCCTAGACCCTTCATCAGAAAAGGGGGAGGGGAAGGGGGTTCTGAAATAAATAGGGAGAGAGTGGGAGGCGGATAGAAGATGGATAGAGGAGAGGATAGGTGGAGAGGATACAAACATGTCGAAGAGGCGGGGATGGAGCCAGTAAAGGTGAGTGTAGGTGGGGAGTTAGGGAGGGGATAGGTCAGTCCAGGGAGGACGGACAGGTCAAGGGGGCGGGATGAGGTTAGTCGGTAGGAGATGGGGGTGCGGCTTGAGGTGGGAGGAGGGGATAGGTGGGAGGAAGAACAGGTTAGGGAGGCGGGGACGAGCTGGACTGGTTTTGGGATGCGGTAGGGGGAGGGGAGATTTTGAAGCTTGCCCCCATACCTCCTCCCTCACCCCCATCCCAGGCCCCAAGAAGACTTTC